CGTTGCAGATATTGCACTAGGTAGGGCGACTGGATTATTTCAAGAATCCGTCCATAATCCGTCGGCATATTCACTTGTGGTCGTGCTTTTCGTCGCCTTCTACCAGACTGGGCTCTGCAAGACAGACCAAAGCGGAATTTTTTTTTACAAAAAGTGCTATTTCCTGTTTACATTTAATTCCATACCGTTCACGTACAGAGCACAACTACTGCCACAGTTTTATTCCCCATATGTTACCACAGTGGCACTAAACTATTACTTTCAACGTTGCTCATCCAACCAAAGATATTTTTTCACATTAAATACTCACTCCACTTGCGTTGTTCCGCCGTGTGGGTCGCAACTTGACACATGTGCTCCTGTGTCCATTTCGATGGTTATCGTAATATCGCACATTCGCGGACTGGCCTTAGTACACACTTCCTTATTCCTATTGGTTGGAAACTTTCCCTTGGCATTCTTTCCTATCCGGGGCAAGGCTGCATTTATTCCGCATACAGTTTTATTTATCCATGCCCATTTACAAACCTTCCCTGCATTTTTCATCTTATTTAAATCAGGCTTCCACTACCCTTGAGGCTTCATTTTTAGATGTGTACTGCTTGCCTCATTTTTGCCTCCACTCACAGGCCCCACCCGTATAGCCCCTATTACCACCGGTCCCGTAAGACAGGCAGCTAGCAGTTTACCGTACTGCGAGGGCTACCTTGTATCCTCTTACCGGAAAATCCTCGATGCCCGGGCGACCGTGGCATGGCCTGATTTTCAAGCTGGCGTCTATAGAACCTCAATAAAAGGAAGCATTTTTTGATTAACTGGCGAGACTGAATTCATGAAAGCCCTTTTTAAGGATGGAAGTATGTGTGCGCTCCATCGTTTGTGGTCTCCAGAGCCTAATTCGCGTGGACGTAAATATAAACGTGTACTTTGTCAACCAACGGAATGTTTGTACGTTCCATGCCTGAAGTAAAGAGTTGTAAAAGTATCAGGAACAGTGGGGCTATTGAGGACACGATAGTCATCCGAAGCCTCTAGTTTTGTCTGTAGGCATGATCCATGTGACATTGTATCATTCACAGACCCGTTTGAGGATTTTATGCGTGATCGTCATAAATCACTCCCCTGTGTCCCTCAGTACACCTCTTTACGGATATTCCCTGTCAGGATACTCGGCGAAACAAATGACTGCCTGAGTGTGGTGACTCGATTCCAGACTCTAGACTGAATGCGTGATTAATTTTCATGGTGATTCATTCATCTGCTGATAGGACTGCGCCAAGCTGACTAGCCAAGTTCTCATATTATCGTGCCCTGCGTGCGCAGAAACACATAAGCTCGCAAGTCTAATTAGTGCGGGACCGAGGTCGGAGCTAATCCATGCATCCCGACGTATTACCTATGCGTTTGCAATCGGTAAAGTCATCTGTGTTAGTCATACAAACAGGACCCCCGCTTAGAAAGCATGATTTTTACGGCAACTTCTCAATGCTTATCTGAATTTGGTAATTGTTCCTGAGAAGATTCACAGCACTTCCATTTTTGTGTGATTGCCTTGTCGACAGTAACCTCATCTTGAAAAATATTGCTTGGAGTGAAGAAATATTATTACCTTCCAAAGTTTGCTAATTCGTGCATACTTTGAAGAACGGCTTTATTTTTTATCTGTTTCCAAGGTTTCTAAACAAGGTGGTATGCATCTTCTCGCGAATAAATTTTATACTCTGTCTCATGTCCCCATGAAAGCGCTTCACTAAGATCCCAGATATAAGGCCCAAATGTATTGGCCAAAATTCCTAATGAATACTAAACGACCTTCAGTTAACTGAGAACAAAAATGAAGTATTGAAAATAATATTTGGTTTGTCAAAAATAAAGCTTTTTCGAAGAAAAGCGGAAATGCCGAAAACGCGACAATTCTCGTCAGATGCGTAAGCTCATTTTTATAAGTGCATTAGACTTGTCTATGCAAATGGCCGAGCACGAAAGGCACTATAAGTATAACAGCGTGTAAAACTAGTCTTTTTATATTGTCTGCATCTAGCAGGCCTCCAAGAATTAGTGCAATACACAGTAGATGTGCTAACTCATGAAATGCCAACCAAAATTTCGAAATGCGTTCTCGTTTCGAAAAGATAAATTAAGTAGTGCTGTAAAACTAATCATGATGCAGCATAAATCTATAATGATCCAGTTACCTCAGGGTGTCGGCTTTCGAAAGAACTTATTTTCTGCTGCATGCAAAATCTATACTCTGAAAAAAATGACTACTTATATAGTGTGCAATTTTCTCACTGATTTTCGATGCTCCTGAAAATTCAATTATATTTCATGGAAAACATGCATAAAAATATTCATTCTTTCGCTTATTCAGTAGAAAATCACGTCTTCTTCCAAGTTCATACTCAAAAGAAGAGTATAATTCGGTTTTAAAAAACTTTTCTAATTCCCGAATAATTTTGAACCCGACCTGCTGTTACACTTGCATTCAGGGATTCAAATCTACAAGCTGTATATTTTCCGTGTAGGGAAAACCATGCATTTCTCTACGGTGTTAAGAGGAGACCATATGAGGTTCATAAAACTAACAGTGGATTTGAGCAATATTGTTAACTTTACAAGCCGCATTCGTAAATGCAGATACATGACGTGATACATCAACGGCCATTTAACGGTATTAAAAAATCTCACAATTAGAAACTTTTTTAAAACCGAACTATGCTCTTCTTTTGAGTATGAAATTGGAGGAGGACGTGATTTCCTACCGAATAAGTAAAAGAATGAATATTTTTATGCATGTTTTCCATGAAATATAATTGAATTTTCAAGGGCATCGAAAATCAATGAGAAAATTGCATACTAAATAAGTAGTCATGTTTTGCAGAGCATAGATATTGCATGCAGCCGAAAATAAGTTCTTTCGAAAGCCGACACCCTGAGGTAACTGGATCATTATAGATTTATGCTGCATCATGATTAGTTTTACAGCACTATTTAATTTATCTTTTCGAAACGAGAACGTATTTCGAAATTTTTGTTGACATTTCATGAGTTAGCACATCTATTGTAAGCCTTGAAATAGGCCAACTACCTCAGGTTTGATCGTATGTTCTTAAGTGAAATTACAAGAATTTTATACAGTTTGTTGCTTTTTGTATTGTTCAAGATGCGACTGCTGATAGAGACGTCACATGAATAAAGTTTTAGAAGGGCACACGTAACAGGAATCTCATTCCTGTCATGAGGATTGATGGCGGTTTGGAGATATCGGACAGTAAAAATAAAGCTGGCATTTTTCTCAATTTTTCTAATCCGTTTTCACAAGAGAAGCAGACTTTATTCCAGCTAGTTCCGAGAACATGAGAGATTCCACTATTGAAACTATTGTGTTTCGAGAAGAAGCGATTTTGGAAGAACTAAAAAGGTTGGAGGAATGTAAATCTCCCGGTCCGGCGAGATCTCCGAAAAGCTGCTCTTTGAGCTTGCCCAACAGCTGGCCAAGCCAGTATCCTTTCTGTGCCAGAAATCGTTTGATACTGGAATTCTTCCCACAGACTGAAAAACGGCCAACATTACACTCCTTTACAAAAGCGGTAGTCATGCTCTGGCGACAAACTACAGACCCGTCAGTCTGACATCAATCTGCTGCAAAGTGATGGAGAAAACCATCAAAAAGGAGTTGATGGCTTACTTGGAAACCCACAACCTCTTGTCCAATGCACAATATGGTTTCCGTAGGGGAAGATCATGTGTTACGAACTTGCTATACACAATGCAAAGTTGGACACGAGCACTGGACGCAAAACACACCGTGCATGTTGCCTATATTGATTTCCGGAAGGCGTTTGACAGTGTTCCGCACCAGCGTCTCCTATACAAGTTGAGAATTATGGGCATCGGTGGCAAACTTCTCAAATGGATCGAAAATTTCCTTGTCGGCCGCTCCCAAATCGTCTGCGTAGAACAATAGCAATCAAGGTGCACATTCATAGAGAGTGGGGTCCCACAAGGCTCGGTGCTCGGACCAACCCTCCTTCTCTTGTTCATCAATGATTGTGTAGATGGGCTGGACTGCGATTGCGCCATGTTTGCAGACGACATAAATATCTGGAAAGTCATCCAGAATGCTGCCGATGAGACCAACTTCCAAGAAAATCTTTGTCGATTGGACGAGTGGTCCCGCAGATGGCTCTTGTCCTTCAATTTGAACAAATGCACCATTCTGCGCCTCGGAAATCAGACCCCTAGTACGCGGCAATACCATCTGAACGGAATGCCACTCCGAGAAGCAGAAACGCAGAAAGATCTCGGAGTCTGGGTTGAAGACAGCCTAAAGCCTTCTACACAATGTTGTAAGGCGGCCAAGGTCGCAACTTCAGTGCTATATGCCATCAAGCGGGCATTCGCAGTTTTCGATGAAGAGTGCTTCTGCAAAGTCTTCGGTACGTTTGTAAGGCCGCATCTCGAATATGCGATTCAGGCCTGGAGACCATGGACACATCAGGATTACAATCTGCTCGAAAGGGTGCAGAGGCGAGCAACAAAATTGATTAGAGGTCAAAGTGCACTGTCATACGAGATCCGCTTAACTAACCTTAATCTCTATCCTCCGAGTTATAGGCAATTGTGCGGAGACTTAATACAAACTTTTCGTATCGCGCGTGGCTTGGACTGCACCCTTCGGTGCGATGCCTTTTTCTAACTCGCCACAACAACTAATCTCCAAGACATCCATTTAAGCTACGTGTGCCCCAGAATAGATTGAATGGGAGAAAATATTTCTTCTCCAACCGTGTCGTGGAACCGTGGAATAACCTGCCCGTGACGATTGTCATGTCTCAATCTGTGGAGACATTCAAATGTCAGCTTGACAGATATATGCTTCAGCAACAAGCGAACTATGTGATTTTTTTGCCATGAGAACAGTGACATATTTGAATCAATGTCTGCATTCACTTAATGCTGTAATTTCTTCACATTTTTGCTTATTGATCGATTTTTTTTGTACAAATAGGCAGTTCAAATGCGTAAGCCTATTGCCCTCACATACACTGACTGACTGACTGACATGACGAGATGCTGGCCAGTGAATAATAAATTGGGATCGAAGTAGTAGATGCAATCGTAAAGAAACCATTTTCTGTATATCAAGAATGCTGTTCTTCTATAAAAATACTATGCGCATCTTGGTAGCGTTGGAGTCCTTTGAGCTTCAAAGTGTTCTTAAAATATCAGTTAACGCTCTAAGGCTTTAGGCGTTACCACTAGACAGCTCAAAAGTACAAGTTCAGCAATTCGTCTTCACTAGAACCTTCAAAACAAGACCGTTCTTGAGAATATTTACCTACGTTATTTTTGTGCGCTGACGGTTTGGGTCGTACTTGTAATCTCACCCCAGCATGAAATTTCATTGCTGAAGAAGAATGAATTCTATAAAGAAGACCTGCGACGAAAATGCTTTTGTTCCACTAAGAAACCTTCTTTTATAGGTTGCCTCTCTGGGAAATGTCTCACCTGTAAAAGTTCAAAACACCTCCTCCCTACGAAAGTAAAGTCGATGAAAAAGGCTAGACGTAGTTATGTAGCCCCACCTGAAGTAAACAAACCCCAGCCACCTGTAATACGGGAGTGTCGGTAATAGGGCATTTTACAGTTGGGGCTGCGGAACGCGCAGGCGACGGGGTCAAGTAGTTGTATGCAAAAGAAAAGCTATCGGGAATGCGCGGTTGGGCTTTGAGTGGTCGAGAAATAGTTGCCCCAATCCCTAACCCTAACACCAACCTCAACAGTATTGTGTCACCCGTTACGGCTAAAGAACCACATCTTACCACGAAAAGGATTGGGATTTAGTCCACTCATGTATTTTCCTAGAAGACACTGATATTTTTTATGCCGCAAACAAAAACTCCCTTTCCTGGCTGTACTGGGACGATTTTCGTTATTTTTGCTCACGTTTGGGCTTCGTTCTCCAAATATAAACGCATCACAGAATGATCACTTAAGTAGTAAAATAGTTCTCTAACTGTTCGGTCCGTTTTTAAATTAAGTATTAACAGAAAGTGAGCCCCATAAATCCTACGTTACTCAAAGGTTGAAATGGTGGCCTCATGCTGGGCTCTTGCGTGATTGCTTACGGAGCGTCTCCATATGTCCGAAAAATATGGGTACTTTAGAGCAGACGTTTGCATATGGGTGCTGTCAATACTTTTTAAACAATGAAATCATAAAGCTTTACAGATGGGAAATTTTTAAAAAGAAAAAGAATGCGGTGTTTCCGAAAATAGCATGCTTATTCCCACTCTGCATCGCCTGCTTTATGTGGAACAGAAAATCAACTTCCGAGTAGGCAGATTTTACTTGGGTAAGTTTTTCCTGGTTGTGCTAATGCATTCTGGTTGAAAAGCACTCATTGATGCATAAGTGTTGCGTAGGACAGCTAGTAACATAGAAAATCGCCTGAATATAAGGAGGTGCTGATTACCGCGCAAAATTGCAAGTTCTTCCTTGGTAAAATCATAAAGAGGGGTATTCTGCCTATGCAAAAGGCTTTTTACAAAGGCTTTAACCCGATTAGTAAAGTGAATAACGTTTGCGATGCCCCGAAATGACCAGATACTCATCATTGCGATTTCAGTTACAACACCTACTGTAAATGCATTTAAGGCGTGATTTATTATCAAGTAAGTACGGTAAATATAAATTATGCCCGACATTTCTTGGAGACTAGATTAAGATTATAGGAGGATCCAGAATTCTTGGGCCAAAATAAATTTTGATCACTTAAAAATTTTTTCAACTTGGTTGGCACAGGGCGGTGGAACGATCCTCAAGCGAATTATAAGACAGCATTCTGAATGCTGTGGTTTGAGCTCATCAGCCACGTATTTTATTTTACAATATGGTTTTAAAAATTTCGATCGATTTTCAGGCATTTAAATGCCCACTGTAATTAACATTCATGAACATGCTGGTCCATTGAAAACCGATATTTAAATAAACTCCTTCATCTTTATAGGGAGTGAGGAAATAATATTTTTATAGTCCTTCCGTAAGGAACTACTTCTTGTATGCACTTAGTGACCGAAAACACGACTACTTCCATTGGGAAAATTCGTGGTTTGGGAATTTTTGGGACATAAATTTTGGAAACTCCCAATTTTTGGACCTCTCAAACCGGCATTCCAACTTGCTAAAATCTACCTCAATGCCCATGAAGTAAGGATGCCCCTTCACTGTAAACGAAAATAAATTCGAACCCGTTTCAGATATCATGCATATCAATTAGCTCGATCACCCAAAGAACACCTAAAAACGCTGATTATTCCGTAAGAAATGCATCACTTTCTGATTATTAACACGGAGAAATTTTTCAGTTGAAAAGAGTGCCTTTCTGTACAGCCTAAATTCCCATGAATCAAATTCACGAAATACATTTTTGATCAATTATAGAAATTTTTACATGAGCTCAAAACTTAATGAGAACAAGGTATTTCGTGGGCAGATTTTATTCCGAAAGGTCTACAGCACTAGGCTGTATGAAATGCCCAATTCCGTAAATCGTTGTAATAATGTTTCCGGCCGTCCTGAGGAAAGTTTGATATTGTTAAGGTTCAGTGGAATCAGTGCTTGGCCCTTGAATTTTCGAACTGCTAACAGCTGTCCGTTGTCAACTAAAGAAGTTGGGAGTAGTACGCCTCGCGCACCGGAAGATGGCGGCTAGGAGGGAGTGGCCTGATCGGTGGGCCAATTTTGCGGGTGGGATGGTGGATAGAGGGCGTCTCTGAAGGATGGTGGCTCAGGCTAAATGCACGGCTGCGTCTCACCATTCTGGGCCCTAAGGAATTTGTGCGTTTCTACGCCATGTTTCAGCAAACCATGGCCCTCACAACCTGCTATGAGCTAGCAGTTCTCTGGCACCTACTTCCCAGCCGGTGGATGCACTTGCGCTCCCGCTGGGCATACAGGTTGTGTGCATGGCTGCCCAGTAACTTGCGTCATCCTTCTCTTTCTGACCCATTTTCGTTTTTGATTAAAATCCTGGTCAAGTGTTTGTTGTGGACCAGAGGGTGTGCTGGCACGCCAAGGCGCGGGTCCGGCTGCGCCAGCTATCTGCGTCCTCTCCCGCCTTCGGTATTGTTGACTGTGTCTTGACACCGAGTTCAGGCGGACAAGGATGTCAAAGTGGGGTGAATGCTGTGCAAGTCTGCTCTCACTATTAACTAATTCACGCACAAATAACCGTGGCTGCTCTCAACTCGCTGTGGAGCACACGATGGACATCGTCGGCAAAGACAGTCGAACTGTCGCACGGGGGGGGGAGGGTCGCAAAAGGCGCCGCCAGCGTGATATCATCATTACTCAGGGGGAAAATCGACCACTAATGCGCTACCACAACTCCTCTCTGGTGCATCGAAGCTCAAATGCTAACTAATACCGTCACCGTTGAATCGTCAAAACTTGAGACGGTGTACAAATTGTCTTGAAGACTGTTCCATACTTATCAGTTTCGTAATATATTTACAATAGTCACACAGCCATGTAAGACTGACAAACAATGCTCTCACTCCGTCCACCAGCGTCTTTGGCGGATCACCTAGACGTCTTACCCAAAAGGGTCGGGTTTGATTGAGATGAAATCAGAGGTGATATCACCTTTTGATGGACGCTGCTTTGGCTGAGTCAGCGTAGTCAACCAGCATAGAGAGCACCAATCACCCGGTTTTGTTTCATACCGACTGTAAAGATGTTTGCTGTAGACGGGACTGTAGAGGTGCATTCAGATAATGAAGAACTTACTAAAACTGCAAGCAAAGGTTTTGCAATTAAACTAATTTCCCTTACATCTGCACCCTCTCAATGGAGTTTTCAGGGCTTCTGTCGTTTACTCCAAATATACTGACAGAACAAGCATCAGGGATTGAATAGTTTCGAGCATTTAGTACATTTCGACTCCACGGACCATGACTTCTAACCAGGCAGATTGATTGCGCCCACCGAAGCCTCGTATACTCGTAACCTCGCTTTCGCACTGAACTCAGAACTCCTCCCGGGAATTAGATAGAGTTGGAAAAGTGTTGCGCACGCCTAATTGAGGCGATGATCAGCCAGCCAGCTTTACCTTGTGGATTCACACTTCGAATGTTATTGGGAAGACATTTTCTAGTCCGGGGGCTTATCTTCTGCAATAGCTGAGCTGTTACACCTGATCGTCTATTTGGACCTCATGCTGGCGCCGCATTTACACCCCGTGTCGTCGAGCCCGCTTGACAAGGGAAGAAGAGCGAGAAGTGACTGCACGCCAGCGTATTAATCGTCCTTAAATCGTTTTCGTTTCTGCGTATATGACAGTTTAACCGTCGCTACCGAGGGCGTCCACCTTGCGGCCACACCACAGTGGGCGCAGGGACGCCAACTTGCGCAGCACCGACCATACTCTCACCTTCAACACCCTACCCCCCTGGGCCCGATGTCATGACAAGATTAACAAGATCGGGGACGGAGTCGGATGCGGTGGCTGTCTGCGCACAGATATCGCCGTTTTGCACAAATAACAAGGCGCAGTTCCGATGCCAACTAAGTGGAAGTGCCATAGAGGCCAAATTAAGAAGGAAACACTTCAACCCCCTGTCCTAAGAGGAGGGTTGAGTTATCGCCTACAGTTGGTAGCCTTCCAAGCCAGGGCTTTTAGCGCATCATGCCAAATAGTCAGTTCCTGTGTCACGCACGGTTTCTGCGGTCAGAATATACCAAATACCTACAATTATTCAATTGCAGATGCTTGTGTTCTGCAATTATCTCCTAGACAAATTACTGGTCAGTCAATCAGAAACAGAACTGATAAACTGTGCTCGTTTAACCCGTTGACTGTGCTGGTTGGCCATGTACTGTGTCCCACAGTAGGTGATATTGGCGGTAATGCCCTCTCGTCCCAACGCGACCCTGTTGGTAACGACGTCGGGGCGACCAACTAAAGACTCTGGTGGATGCTGCGAGGGCCGACATCTAGCGCATCTCTGAGCTTGCAGTAGAACACCGCCGGCCCAAGCCGCAGCCCAAGCTGACAACCCTAGTTCTAAAAATAACTCAATTAACCAGTTCAAACTGTTATTAAAACGGACAACTTTAACGTCCATTTCGCTATCGGAGATTAAAATTCACTTCCTCACAACCCCTACCGAGCCAGGCAAACCATTATAAGGCAGGTAGGTTTTGATGAACCACCGAGGGGAGTTAACAAATTCAGGCCTCTTGCACTCGCACGCATGAGAGGTGCATGTCTTCCACTCACTATTTTGTGAAATACGTGCTCGTATTTTGTGAGGGAAGGGCAGGTCGTGTAAATGGCAGTAAGTGGGAGTTCCTTCGGTTAAAACTGACTCGGGAGTCAGCCACTACCCTACTGTAATGGAAGAGAATCAAGTCCGATGTGTTAACCTTCAGAATTGGGTCTACCAAATCAGTACTGACGAATACGGCCATAAACAACGAAAAGCAGGAGCGAGTTTAGTGGACCTATCCCGGGCGCCTGTTGCAACGCTGTACCTCTCGCGAGTACTTGCATGTGCGCACCAATGGCAGCCTGCTTCCTGACCAATCACGGTTGTCCAAACTGGCCAATCAAATTCAAGTAGATTCAGGCGTGCTCTCCCTCAATGTGCTGTGACGCTTTCCCCGCTCTCAATCAGGGCGTCGTTCTCGCGGCGATTGTTTTAAACGGACCTTTTTTTACTTCCCGCCCCCCCTTTTCAGAATTTGGGTCACGTGGATCGGAGCTGACGCCTGTCGACACGCCCTCCGCTAAGTCCCCTTTTCCTTATCGTTTCCGTATTCCTGAACTGCCGATTCGTTTTCCGCCTCGTTTATTTCACCATTAACTAACCCTTTCCCGTGTTTCACGTTTTATCGGATTGTAGGATTAAGTTGTACTCTCTTAGTTGATTAGTAGTCTGTACCGCTATTTTTACCTTACGTCATAGATCACATCAAACTTATTTTTCTACCGTGTCTCTAACGTTTTACTAATAAACTTTTGTATCAGTTCATTCGTCGCTATCATGTCCACTCCACCCCTTTCCTTTGCTAGTGTGTATGATGGAGTTACACGACTTTTAGAGGAGTTTTCTTTAGATACCCATACGAAAGACCGCAAGCCATCACATCCCAACTCAGGTCTTCCCGAGTTTCCCGGAGCCCCTCCTTATTCGGCCGCTACACTGTGACGCTTTCCCCGCTCTCAATCAGGGCGCCGTTCTCGCGGCGCCGCACGTGTCCACTCGTTCGGTTGCTAGTTTTTTTTTCCAACGGATTCTCCAAGCTTCCTCTACAGAATACTGCGTCCTCTCAGTTGGCGTCCAACTCATCTTTCGGTCAGATCTTATTTCGTAGCCGTATCTGCAGTAGAAAAGCCCCAGCCTAACCCCAATCCCTAGCCATTAACCCTAACCCTTAACAGGTACGGTTACGAAATGGGATCTTGCCCATCTTTCTAGTCGGAAACGGGTCTGAAGGTCGTAATGGCCACGGTTTGCCTGTGGCTTTAGCTGCTTTTTCGACATCTTCCTGATGGCGGGGTCCTGCACGTCGAGTGGGGCAAGCACATATGAAGTTTGGTGGATTTAGGCAGTTCGATTGTCCCTGTAGCTTCAAGCTGGCCCGCCTTCCTTGGACAGAGTGTAAAAAGCCCACTTCGCTACAATCAGCCGCAGAGCAAAGTTGAGGCACATCGCAGGCGCATCCAGCATCTCAGAGGTTCTCGGTGTGGTGTTGCTGTGATAAGCAATAAGCAGCAACGGAGAAATTCGTGGGTTTGGAAAACATTGATATACTACACACTCTTCAAAAGCAATTATCGTGAACTCTAAAAGAGGATGTGCCCATCACCCTGTCTGCAGGAATCGCATTCACCTAACACTGGAGGGGAGGGGATTGACCACCCTCATGTACGAAATACATAATAGTTTGGCACGAACCAGGCAGCGCAAAGTGGAGCAAACCAACATTTCGAAGTGCACCTCCAAAAGGAGGCCATAACTGCCTGCTGCAAGCTCATACTTCGTCTAAGTTAGTCCAGACAATCTCGTTAGTGCATATTGCAGCGAACCGGTAAGGGACAATTACCACGGCGCCACAACATGGCTGTCTTGTCCACAACCGGACCAGACTGGGCAAACGGCCCCACCCCAGATGAGTTCCCTGACGTGGCAGTAGGTCTTTCGGCCTCATGACCTGGTGCCTGATACTCGTTTTGAAACCAAGCGGAGTGGATGGGTAAATCCTAGTGTTGTAGGGAGAGAGACGGAAGGAACCCGAATGAGTGGTGGTTATTCAGTGTGCGTTGCATTTGCCGAGGGGTTGTGTCCCAGTGGCTTAGGTTGCGGTTGCAGGGGTGGGGTGCGTTCAAGTGGCCGCATGGGCAGCTGCGGCTGTGCGGACGCAGGTATGCCCGAACTGTAGGTCGTGTGAGAGCCAGGCTGCAATGACACACTCCTAATGTGACTTCTATGGCACCCTGAATCTGTGGGCTTCGAACCGCAACCTCATTACATAATCTCTGTGAAATAGTGGTCAGACAGCAGAGTGGACCAGGCAGTGTGGTGGTACGTCGAGGTGCAGGTAATTCCCGTGCCAAAAAGCCTGCCCCAACCGACATTTTTGATCCTGTCACAAAACCGGCAAAAATTGGAAGATGAGAGAGCACAAGCATTAAAAACTATTTTAGACGCAAGACGCCGAACCTGTTCTCAGCATGCACTTAGACATCTTCGGCAACGACGGTCAAACTGTCGTATAGTACAGAGAGGACGTTGGCAGGTTTTGAACATAACTAATTTATTCTGTTGCTGCTAATGCATTTCGGCACAAATAATAATATCACCATACAGAAACAGCAAGCAGGCATTTGTTCCAAAGCACTTATCTCAAGTTATGCATCACATTCCGAGCATGCTTCCTGGCGAGTTCGGATTGAGTGAGCCCAAACACGACGACTCTGTGGTAGCACAACACTCCACATACCCAGCCCTCCTACTGGCCTATAGATGAACCCTGTGCAACTCCACTGCTCATCAATTGCCTATCGTCAATTCAACTATTTATGCCAAATCGCATTGCCTGCTGGCTGCCACCGCGGCATCATCTACTCACACCCGACCTCAATAAAAAACCAAAAAGATGCATACTTCCAAATAATACTCTCATATATTTCATATTCAACTGCACACAGGTGAGAATAGAGATCGGTGGGAGGCGGGATGGGGTTGGGCGTGCGAGGTTGCTGTCAACGTCAACAAGTCTCGGAATTTTCGTTGAACTCCTTCTCCTCGGAGATCAAACAACAACAACACAGCCGACGGAAAACCCGACGAAGGAAGCGACCCACGCCAGATCGACGCTAAAACAAAGGAGTGTGATTTGTCAGGCAAATGAATACGGACCTGCACACAGGCAGACGAACATATCCAGACACCATCAACTCAATAGATCAAAGTAAGTAGCTTACACGTCGGGGACTCACGGCTACTTCCGCCACCACGTCATCTCCTCCCTTGCAAATAATGCTCACTTCTGTTTCGTACGATCTAGTGACGCTGCTGACAGGCCACTTCACATCTGCAAAGACAAACAGTCCAGAAGGGTAAGCCTATGCAGTGATCTGAAGTCGGCGGCGATTGCACAAACACTGTGCTGGAAATTGAAAATCATAGGCAACATAGTGATGTCTTCATGAGCCTCATTTTCGATGCATTGAACCAAATCTTGTTTTTAAGGAGGCTGCTTACTTGACTTCCTTTTGACAAGCCGTCTTGCCCAGGCTCTGTGGGCTGCGTAGACGAGACAATTTTCCTGTGTGGTTGCCTCACACAGGTCGCCAGCTGCCTGCACGGAGAACTTGGCGCGCCGCTTCCGGACAAGCGGCAGTCGGCCAACTTCACTACAATCAGAAAGAGAAATAGAGTCGCGAACTATTGCTACCGCATCAAGTAGCCCCAGCTGTTATTGATCCTAATAGCAACAATCATTACGGAATTCGACAGTGCACATTGGAGCAAACCCACAAAGGGCAATTACCTCGACTCCATGAGCTTGTCCGAAGGCCACACCGGCAGTGGCGCATGCACGCGCATTTCTGCCGGTGTGGCGGTTACTGAGTGCTCCGACACCCAGTCTGCGGAGCAGCTCACTGTGGATGCCACCTCACTCTCCAGACTTGTAAGGAGAGCGATGTCCACCTCGGTGGACATCTCCTCGTCCGGAATTGCTACTTCCGGTGGGAGGTTGTGCATGTTGACCTCCTCCTGTGCAAGGCACCGCTTCACATCGAAAGTACGACCAAATGGCATTGTGACTAAGGAGTCCGTATGACGGGGAGGTCGTACAGGCAGGGAGTGTTCAGGAGATATCCTGGATGCTGGTTGGTGGGATTTTGTTGAGCTGGAAGCAAGGGAGGCTGGTGGAGGACGGTAGTTGGAGGAATTGGAAGAAGGGGTCTGGGACTGAGGCTGGTGCCGGTGTCGGCGACGAGATCGGGGAGATGGGGATCCCTGATCGGGATGCGAGACGGCGTGGAGAGAGCTCTGTACTGAGTCCTCATCGCCACCATCGCAAGCTTGTGATAATACCGTAAGTGAACTACCTGAAAGACAAGTGAATGCACATTGCGAATCCATAATCACAGAAACAACAGGGTGTAAATACTCATCAGAAATTCTGTCATTATTCACTGTCACTGTAGGAAGCGTGCAACCCTCAATCATTGAAAACCACACGCGACATGAGATGGCGACTTTGGCTCGAATACATCCCAACACACTCCATATCTTACCAGCGGTGAATATGAAGTGGAAGACTCCCTAGTCATCGCCTAAACCCTTGACAAATAAATCCGCTCACCCCCACGCCCTCCCCTAGCACACAGAAGATTAACTTTTATGAACTACCTACCTGTATGAGGGTTGCATGTCTGAGATAATTGGGGATGGAGGACTGGAAAAGATGTTCTTACGAAAATATCTCTTCTGTCAACTCAGTAAAATACAGGGAGTACAACAGGACGGAGTGGCTCACTAATGATCCCTGATGAAGACGCCGATTAGCTCTGAATCTACCCTGAAAGGCACTCACTAGGCAAGTGAATGTTATCATAGGCAAAATATCCAGTCAACATATTGAACCACAACAATGAGCAGCTTCTAGAAAGTATCCGTAAAAAGGGAAGGCTATCGAAGGCTTATGAGAGTGAAGCTGCATATTTTTAGACATCTTGCATGTGTTTGACAAACATTC